ACCGAGATGATTGTGTGAAAAGGTCCTTATTCGTGTTAATGTAATTATTAACTTTGTTGTAGAAAGACGTTTTCATTAATGGCCTATTTGGTGTTTTGAATGTATTTTGGGGCGTTTTATGAATGCTTCTGCTTTTGGTATGTTCGTGTAGGCCATGATGCTATTGTGTTGTAATGTAGAATATAAGAATGTGTGTGTGTGTGTGTTTATTGTTTTCTATGAATTGTTTCAGGTGGGACTAGAAGTATTTTTGTATGTGTGTGTGTGTGCGCGTGTTCAATTTTGAACAGTTTGCACCCCAACTGTCTCCTTTAAGTCCTTTTATTTCATTTCTTATGTTGTTTCTGAGTGTATTTAGTTTTGAGTTTGGCGTGTTCATGTAGAATTTACAAATTGTCCTGCGTTCTTTTATTGTGTTAAGAAGTTGTTCGTGTGGTTTCCATGTATGGTTATTTTGTTAAATCCAAAGTTTGATTTCCCGCGGTAGATAGTGTAGAGATAGCTTGTATGTAGCTTTGCACTAAGAAAACAGCTCTCTTCTTCCAAAAGTAACACGTGCCCACCCCATCCCCCTTAAAAAAATCGACCGCCAGTCCAATAATCATTCCCGAAAAAGAACGAACATGATCAATAAATTTGGACAGCGAATAAGTTAAAAACAATACACAAAAAAGGTTGTTTTAAATTATTTTATATAATTTTCCTATTATAATATTTATTATTATTTTATAGACTAGAAGTATTAAAATTACAAATCAAATTTTATATACATATAACAGGCTTAGTAAAATTATAGTTTAATGTTTACATTTACCTCCATTAACCTTTTCATTGCCAGGATTATTTTTTGTTACAGCCAGAAACACAGGTGGCGTTGCTGTACGATTACTTATATTTTGCTTATTACTTGTCATACCAACATTATCTTTTAAAGATATAATGGTCAAAAATATTTCATAGAACACTTTGTACTCAGACTGACAAAAGTATTAAGTAAAATTATTCCTGCATTTATTTCCGACATATGCAAATTAATATGCAACATGTATATTTAATTTATTAGAAAAAGAAATGTTGATTTTATTGCATGTTTCTGAAAACGTTTACCTAGTATCGTCGTAGACTTTTTTTAGGTCACATGAGCCCGTGGCTAAATGACTACAACTATCTTAAAAACGTCGACATAGAGAAAATAAAAGTCCGCGTGTATGTAGAATGCATAATACTTGGACTATACAGTGACTTGGCTTTTTTGCGTCAAGTTTCTACTTTTTGGTTATAATTATGTTTACCTCGCGATAAATAAATAAAAAATCTACAGAAATAAAGAGACCGCCACTTGCCGAACGCGGTAAAAACGCTTTCAACGATAAAAAAATGCAAGCTAGAGTAGAATTGATTGATTTGTGAGTCTATTTGAGTGGAGGGTTTGTTATTGAATTAACAAGTTTGTTTCTGTCAGACAACCAGTTCAGTTTTGTGAATATTGGATTTTTAAATTTCAACGAAGTATTACTATTAGCGTTACGAGAAATGCTGTACGGACAAGAGAAGATGGCAAGTAATTGACAGTTGAACGTTATTTGTGAAGTATTTATTGAAGTTAGGCCAACTGTTAGTTAGTGAAACTCTACGTTGTAAAAAAAACTTGTAGTTTAATAAATAACACTTTCTTATTGTCATGTGGACTGAGCCTTAAATATGATTAAAGAGGACCCCGCCTAGCACTATAAACTATTACAATAAATAATTTTATACTCCCAAAGAAGTTGTAGTTATCAATCCACGTACCCGTGTGACGTAAGAAGCTTTCTCTATACCAATTAAAATATATATACAAACGTCTAAATGGGTTTAATGTTAAACACAGTGTCACTGTATAAATAACCGTGATGGTGTAAAGGTTAAATACCGTATTTGTTTAAAAGAATTGTGAATTTATTCTATAGTTGAGTCGGTATTCTCGTGAACGACACATACTGAACATTTCCCCCATATTTATTGATCACCTCACATAACGATTTCAGTTCTTGCGTTTTTGTTTTTCTTTACGTACACGAGAAAAACATATAGATTAAATAATAATAATCTGAAATCAAAGTCAGCTTGACATTAGGTGGTCATGACATTAAGGACGCTGTGCAATAATTAGAAGATAAGTCCCAAGTAAATATTGTAAGTCATGATGTCCTAACATTTGAAGTTTTAGATAGTAAAATTACATCTAAACGCATATTTTGCTCTGGAAGGTCATATTTGGCTGAATACTAAGGAAATGAATAACATTTCAACCCAGTTTAACTGTTCTTGGCAATTTCCTTTTTCAGTTAATTTTGACTAGAATCCAAGTCACATTAACATTGTTACACATTCTATATCATGAATTATTAATAAGAGCATAAAATGGGCTTGTAATTTACTATTTACTCTCTCTCTGTGCAAGTGCTAAATCCACGATTAAATACAATGCTCAATTTTATAAGTACGTTTACAAATGTTATGACATTTGTGTATACTGTTTAAAACAAAAAGACAGCAAAGTTGGAAGTTTGAGTGGTAAAATTGAGAAGTTTAATATCATACTTTAAAATAACATTTTTTATCGCTTGCTGTAATACGCTGCAGTTCATTTCACGACCTACATCTTTTACTAACTCGGTTACTTGTCTAGTGGCTTGAAGTGTAAATTAAATGTGTACATATGTATTGCTTTAAAATGGTTTACAAACACACAACCACGTTTTATCAAATCGTATTGTTGGCCTCATTTTTCAAAAGGTCTATAACCGCCACTAAGGAAGACTCGTTGATGTGTTTAGCACGCATGTAGTACGCAGAGCGGGGATGGGGGTCCCCCGAACCCCCCGCCGATTTTGTGATGTAAAAAAATGCATATATAGTTATAGCGCAGCTGCTTAAGGTATTTAACGTTTCCTACATAGTCTACATTCTTCTGACGATGTATTAACATTTTTTTGGCTTGAAATAGTCGACGTCCGCAGGGGGGTTCGGCTGAGCCCCCTATGTTTGCGATGTAAAAAAGTTATGCCTATATTGTTATAGCGCAGCTGCTTATAATATTTAACGTTTCCTACATAGTCTACATTCTTCTGATGAAACATTACATTTTTGGACTTGAAATAGTCACATGTCCCCAAACGCCCCGTATCATTGGCATGCTTTAACTAATGACTGGACTTCGTACAATGTGTGTTGACTTTTGATCCCACAAATTAGTACTCCCCCCCCCTTTCAAAAATTCTATGTACAGGCTTAAATAATAATGTTTAGATGTACCAGTCTCGTATTAATTGTGGCGTAAAATGAACAAAACTGGGAGGGTTGTTAATAACAGTTTACCTAGATCTTTTAAATACTGAATACAACGTTGAAATGCACTGCGTTTTTCTTTCTTTTTTTTTTTTAATGTTTATATTGAATTTATTCAACACATGAGATGAGATAGTTATCTAAAGCATCCGCTCGGTAAGCAAAGTTTCCGGTGCGAATTTCACTCGGTTTCAATGTTAATTTATTCAGTAAAATTCAAGCTTTAAAGGGACGACTTCCACCCCTATTATAACATCTCAATCTTCTTTTTAAAACTCTTAAGGTGTGTTATTTCAAATTAAGTGACAAGTTGCTTGTCAGAAAACTTATTTTCTCTCTCTCTGTGGACAAGTTCTCACACTTTTGGTTTTGTTTGTGAACCACCTTTTTTTTTTCTTTTTCATCTCGACGGACCACAACGTTATTATGCACAACTTTTCCATGAACCCCAGGTTAAGAACCTATACACTAGACGATATCACGTGACCATTTCTTTTATCTATTTCGTCCTTTATCCTCCAACTCACTGCTTTCAAACATATCATACGATTAACGTGCATGTCTTCATGTTTTCACAATAGCTTTACACAATTCTGATAAGCGTCATATCTTTCATCCTCAAGTACGCAATCCACTTTAAATACCAAAGGCTGTTGATGTTTTCTAATGTTTACCTTCTCCGACATTTATATTAGCAAATTAGGCCTAAATCGTGATGAAATAGTGATAACGTAACGTTAGACAAATTCTTTTATACATGCAATTCACCTAAATGATAAAAAATTGTTGGTAAACAGGATGATAAAACCCACACGCTTGTAAATATATATGCAAATTAACCTTTTTAGTTTTCTTTACCTCAAGGTATCATCTAACCTTCTCTTCACATCCAGGTTCATTTTAGCTAATATTTCCCAGAAATTGAGCCGAAGGCCGCCTGGAAAAGTAATCTGTTTTAACCACTCGCACCCTTATACAGTAGCGTGTTATCAGTCAGTAGACACTAAAATGACAACGCATATGGGAAACTTAACGTTGCAATTTGTACTATATCAGTAAAACGTGCGCATGCTATGAATCACGAGAAGAATTATGTACTCTGTACGTTGCAACACAGCATAACATACGAATTTGAAAAAAAAAAAAAAAATATTTGCAACTCATAGTTTTGGTGTTATTTACTCTTGAAACAGAACTTTCGGGAACCCCAACATTTAGTCTGTTTTCTTTTTCCATATTTTTACCTGATAAATAATATCATATAACCTATCTATTAGTTGTACGTTTTGAAGTTTGTATATTTTTGTTATTAAAATGTACAACTGTAGTGTTAATGGACAAAAATTCGTAGTTTTAATTTAAGTTTTCTTTCATAAAGCTTAATATGTTTGACCAGTTATTGTTTGTAACTTGAGACAAAAACAAAAGGTTCAGAGAGATTTTAGAGGAAACAATGTGAACACAACAGATGAAACAGAAACAGTAAGTTACTTGAGACAGCTCCTAAAAAATCTAAACTTAGAATTGTTTGGGATTTTTTTTTTTAAATCGGATAAAGAATGATTTTTTTTTTAAATCGGAAGAGGCATGTGTGACATTTTGAAGAATCATTCAAAAGCAATACAATTAACCCTATTTAAAAATATCAAACAATCAACATTTGTACTTACCCGTTACCTACAATTTCAATTATAGATAGTAGAATTTCGGGGGCACTTGATCCTAACGCCATCAAGGTCAAGTTGGCTACAGTGTCGTTCCAAATTCGTACCTCAATGATCTCTGGTTCCGTTTCGGTTGTAGAAGACAAGACGATCTTCCGTGTTTTGCTGGTGATTTTTTCTATCGCACACATGAAGATGTCAGCAATAATGGCCACTCCCAAAAAGCAGTAGAGAAGGCCAATAAGATACAAAAATGCACGTGCCTCGCGTGACCACGTGTATTCGTTAATTATGGGTAAGAGCAACCCCTTGTCAGAACATGTGTAATTGTATAAAGTTCCCTCAGACATCTTCTAGGCTTAACAGGACCAGGTTGTTATATATAAATGCGTCGCTAATGCAATATATTCCCGCACGAAATCCACCGCTAGATCTGAAATAGGAACAGTATACAAAGATATAAGATAGTAGGAAAATAATAAGTGTATACACGGAACAAACACAACAGTTTAATCAGCAGGTTTGAAACACGTGTCACAACCAAATGGTTATGAAGAATGTGTTGGTAATTAACACGAGTGTCGACAGAAACGGATGTTGATACAGAAACAAATATTGCTCTTAAGATTCTATAATATATACTAATGCAAACAAATAATGAATCATGTATACATGAAATGACGTGTAATTACTGTAAAGCAGAAATAACGTGAACGCAGTGCCACGCGATGTTCATAAACAGATTTCAATTTTATGTACAAATCTAGTTGCTCTAAGCGCTACATTGCAGTTGGGTACACAGAGAAATGAATACAGAACCATGGCTTATAGAAAAAGAGGTTGAGAAGGTTATATTAAAATGATTTTGAGCTTCATCACGTCGTTAAAGTCCATGTTATTACGTCTGATCATACTCATCTGACGATCGTGCATTTTGAATATAGCCCTACAGCGTATTTTTTATTGCAAAAGGCCCAGTCGTAAGGATGGCATGTTAGACGCACACACCCCTTCCTACAGGCTTTCTATAATCCATCTAGTATAGGAGGACGAGAATGTTTTAGCGTCCGTTTCAACTAAAGTCCGATCGCACAAACATCCATAGCCGACTTAACTGCTATGTCTTTATGTGGAATAGTACGATTACCCGTTTCATCACGCAGTTGCTTGAAGTATGCGATAGTTAAACGAATATCTCGTAGAGGCAACCTGCGTATTGAAATAGCTCTTCCAGGTGGAGACACTTTTCGATTACGTTGCGATAACGAACTTTACATACTAAGGCTGGAAGAGAACTATTTAAAGGTCTCTATCTGGTTAGTCAATATTTATTTATTTATTTTTCAATGCTATAAACTACAAGAGATATCTCCATCTTGGTAATTGTAAATTCCCGATCTAAAGACATCTTTATATTTTGAGTCTATGAATATTTTGCGTCAAAAAGAGCTGTCAGATACCCTTCCCAAAAGCTATTAGTTTTCGGTGACACACTACCTACGAAACGCCAAATGTCAAAGAGTAGTTCTAATACATTCCGTTCCAGCGTAGCTTTACTTTGGCTTTAGGTGTCACGTGACTATGTGTGATTTTAGTCTCTAACAGTTAATTTATTCTATAGCAAAGCCACATTGGGCCATCAACTGTGTCCACTGTGGGGAATCGAACCCCAAATTTTAGCGTTGCGTTCCATAGACCTACCGCTGTCCTTAACAAACAGATAAGTATAGTGATATTTCATTTTTTTCTTCTCCCAACTCAATTTCCTTACTTATTCATTAGTTCCAGTAACTAAACTTCATCAAATCAGTTTCTTTATACCAAGATAACAATACCAAGTGTTATAAATCTCTAAATATAACGGTCATACAGGGGCTTGTGCTGTAACCGAAACACTTGGTGCATAATTTAATCCGATTGGCTATAGACAGTAAGCATCATCTTACTGTTTTGTAACTGAATTAACTTGCACGATCCTTACAACGTAAATGTTTTACAAGTTAAACATATTTATTTCTACTTTCCTTGTCATAGTATTTATAATCCCAATTGTTTGTTTATTTTATTTTCCACATTTTACGAGAAGCAATAATTACCGCATGCTTCGCACGAGATCACGCGGCCCACATCTGTACCATTTCATTCAGGGCATACCAGGTGCTTGTGCAGCAAGCATTGATGAAGAAATTACATTTGTATAACCTGACCTCAATACTAGTTTTATTTTTACAAATGTCGTTCAAACGAAAAGACTTCGACTAACGTACAAAAACTAAATCACTTATACAACTTCACACCTGCTTGCTCAAATAACGGAAATAACAAAACAGATGGTTAACTATCTATGCTTCTCCAATTTACTCTGCAAGCTTACTTATCTCATCGAATGACTCACATGTATTTATACCTAATCCTATCTCTAGATATTTCGCAAAGTTTCTAGGTTTCCATGACGTCAGTTTAGAGTATTCTAGGCCTACTCTCAAAAACTTACTTGATCATAATGTCATGTATCCTCTAATTAACAAGTAAATGAAAGCATAGCTTATATTTTGTATTTTCTAATTATTACAAACCCTCTACGATACGATTTTTAAGTGTACAAAAAAAATATTATAAAATGAAATGTTTCGTATAATGAAAAATTGGTTCATGAAGTTAAGTGTAAGGAAGAGTTAATCTCGGGCCCGGAATAAAACGCACAGGCCCCATGCATTAGAGATGATTTTTGTCCAAATTTAAACGTAATCCAATTCCCGTGACGGGTGTTTCGGTTTTGAAGTCTTTCCAGAATTTAAACTTAGGCGAAATTAAATTTAGAAAGACAACAGGAAATGCTCAAAAAAGTTTATTTCCTTTTATCCCTCTCGTGGTTGCTGTGTGGATAGTTTTCTGCCTGCAGTAATGTAAAAAAAAATCGGAGATGTGAAGGGAGTCGGGAAGGCCCAATTGCCACTAGATGTTGTCCTCCTTTTCGTAGTTCCAGTTTGTCGATGGTGATCAGTTCCAGGTAAACCCCCGTCTCTTCTCACAAAAGTATTATGAACCTAAAGGCCCATTTTCAGGGGGGTGGGGGGGGATCTATAAATCCAATGCCCGAAAACAAGTTGTGGGGGAAACGGGAGTAATCCGAGGAAATCCACGTTTACTAGCTAAGCATATCCAAATGTAAGATAAACCTATATTACTACGTGACACACGCTATTGTTACCAAATCTGTTCTCTTTTCTTTTCTTCTTTTTTTTTTTTTTTTTTTTTTTGAAAACATCAACAAACGCTCTTTTGAGTTTTTTTAATATGCCCTTGTGGATCCGTCAAAATTAGGTCGTTTTTCTTCAGGATTAAAAGCCCTGTACCAGTATACTTATATCAATTCAAAGATAAGTATTTTTGTATTTATTTTCTTTTTGCAGAAGACTGTGGGCAAAATGTTTCTTTTCCCAGTAGCTGAAGGTATTGCTCATTAAATCTAAATTTGTAAGAATCTGTGAATTCATGGGGTAGTAACAGTCTTTATCCAGTCAAGATCGGGGTAGTAACGGTCTTTATCCAGTCATGATCGTTTGCAAGTGTTTTTTCACGCATTTTGTTTTGTTATTCTATTGTATTTTTTATTTATTCCTTCAAGTTTGATTAATTATTATGTATTGTTTTATGCTATGTTCTTTTTTTTTTAATTCAGACGTTTGTATTGTTGTTTAGACAGAGGGAAGTTTGAGGTGACGCGATAAGCGCATATCTTAATATTTGGTATTTCGTCTAAAGTTTTGGACAGTTGAAGCATTATGAAACATGAGTTACGCTAGAGTTGACGATTATTTATTATTGAGTCTGTCAGTTAGTTAATGAGTTAGGTATGCAATTGTTAAGTCCGAGTTACTGCGAAACATTTATTTTGGTTTTATAAACAGAGTTTGCGTTACCGACTTGACATACGAGAAATTGTTGTATGTACGAGAAAGAATCTAATTAGAAAGTTAGTGAAATTGTTGTATTAATGGTTATTGTGAATTAAGCAAGCCCTCCTTCCCACCACACTCTGGGCAGAAAAAATAGAATAAATGTAGGGGAGACTAGTCGAAAATAATGATAATGTAGTACAATTTTCTCAACAAAAACCAACAGGAATAAAGGGCACATTACTTAGAAAATATTACAAAATGAGATAAGGATTTCTGTACACGGAAGTTATTGTAATTAATACTTGGATACATTACTCAGCTATTTTTTCACATCGTAATTTATATTTTCATATTCATGAACATAGTAGTGTTGTCAGAACGTAGAAGACATACATTTGGGTAATATAAATGCATTATGGATGATATGATGGTTGAATGGTATGAAATAGAGAAGGCCTTCCCATCCTTCTTCATTCAATGCACCACTGATTTCATTCCAAGTGGTTTTGTTAATGTTTGCTCCATCACTTAATACCCTCAAATAAACTAGCAGAAATATCCGACCTCCGGGCAGGTGTAACCGCGAGTTCCTGCGGAAGGCTATTGGGCCTGCGGCCTTTTCTGGAATTGTCTGACAGTTCTACAACAATGTACTCATACTTGACATTCAATAATGTTAACCATCCATGAGAAAAATGGTTTTATTGAAATTTACTTTAAAAATGAGCTATCATCACTGCATTACATCACAGAGTAGATTTTATTATTTCTTTGTAGACGCAGTTATCAATGAAAGTATCTTGCTTTTCTGTTGCAATACTCATGAGATTTTTACTAAAGAAAAACAAATATCTTTTTTTTACTGTTTTATATTTAAAACTTACTCCTTTTTTGTTTGTAATTTTTATTGGTTAAAATCTTGAAACATATTTTTGTGTAAATTTCAATTGTTTTATTTATTGCTCAGCTATAAAAATACTACCTAGTTATAAAACTGTTACCCAGTTATGATTGGTGTTGATCGGTGCGATAGATCCGAGTTTTAGACGTATACATAAAGATAACTAGAAGGATGACAATTTTTTCTTTAGAAATTACAAGATTTTTTTCTGACACTTGCTTTCTTTTGGCATGACCAAAATATCTCGTGGTAACCTGGTTTTGTGTTTCTGACCAATATCTCACAAGCATGTCTAATTAATTCACGTCTTGATCGATTTCATTATGTGATATAATTTAGATTATCGTCAGTTTATTTAGTAGATGGCGTCCTTTGTTGACGTCATTCGAAAGTTATTGACGGTGGGGCACATGAACATCCTAGCGAAAATGTGAACATCATCACATGAAAAGTCCTTACTTGAAACAAGCATTCATTGCACACATTGTTTCTGTTTCTCTGTTCTGTTGCCATGTTTGTAGAGATTGAGGGAGAAGTTTGTGATGGTGTATTGTGGTTGCAACATTCCCTTTACCCAAACTGTTGACCAGGGTTAGCCAAAACGAATCTTAACCTTTCTATACTGTGCAC